TCACTCACTACAGCCTCTTAGCTGCCCGCCACCATGAGGCCTCTGGGTATTCTGCCCTTTCATTTGGAAAGAAAATTGTAGCCTGCAGGAGATTTTAATAGGTTTACACGTGCCGAGGGTTCCCTGATCATATAGGTTTGCAGACATTGGAATAAAATTAAGCAAGGGTTACAGACCTTCTCAGAGGTTTTAAATGTTCATGTCCATTGTCAAATTCCAAAAGGGGAGCTCTCATAAAAAGCCTTTTCTCTTCAAACTTATTGCATAGTGAACTCTTTTTTTATCCAGGTAGATTGTGACTTACCCACCCCAACACACACACACACACACACACACACACACACACACACACACACACACACCACTAGTATTCAACTGAACGTCTTCCCAAAATTGCTGCCATAGGGTCTGCGTTCATGAGACCCTCGTGCAGAAAAGAACAAAGTTTAAGGTCTGACAGTTATAGAGAGGAAAGCATCTTGGGACCCGAGGGGAAAGAGAAAGAACTAAATAGACAAATTCATCAAATGGTCAACTCAACCAGTGGACAGTCCCCAGGACAGGCTGCCTGTCCTTGGAGACGTGCCTGTACTTAGGCCAGGACACGGCAGGTAATAAAAACGATCCACCACAGCACTGGCACGTAAACCCAAAGGGAGGAGGATGGGGACTAGGGCAGGCTGGGAAATGCAAGCTTTCGCCGTCAGAGGTCCTGGGCACCAGCCGCCGAGGCCAGGCTGGAAAGGGAGGGAGCTTGGTTTTGTCCATCCTGCTCAGTTTTCAAGAAAATCCCAAAATCCAGATTTGGGTCTGATTTGTCAATGTTGGCAACACGTTCACAAAACAGATTTTTTAAATACTCTGTGCGCCAAACTAAATACTTCTGTGGGCAGAGAGCGGCCTCTGAATTAGGCTCTTTAGCTATTTTGGTTGTATAAACACTGCTCTGCATTTAGTGCAGCTGGGTCAGGCCTGAGGGCAGAGTGGTTTGCTGGAAGGACCGTGAAATGTACAGGCAGACAGACTCGGATTTTGAATCCTGGCTCTGCCACCGGCCGGCTACGTGACCTTGGGCACATCACTTAAGGAGCTTGATCACACCAACCTCTTGTGGTCCCTGAGCGTAAACAAGGGAATGCATGAAAGCCTCAAACGTGATTGGCTGCTGTGGGTCACTGTTTCAACTTTCCCTTGTAGAAGTGACCTCAGCCCTGTCCACAGGCATCCTCAGAGGAGAGGCCAGTCGAGTTCCAGGCTCAGACTCCCCAGTAGGAAGAGTGAGGGAGTAGAAAACTCACACGTGGTCTTTGGAGCTAGATGACCCAAGTTCTAATCCCAAAGCCATAACTAACTAGTATGATAACTTTAGGCCCGCTACTTAAGCTTCTATGTGCCACTTTCCTCATCGAGGAAAACATGACAAATAATGCCTACCTCCTTGAGTGGTTGGGATGTTAAGTATCTGATTCATGGTAGAAGCTCAATAAAGATTAGGACTCACCCCATCTCCCATCCCCCCATCCAGCCATCTATTGATGCATTCGCACAGTGAACACAGGTCAGTGATGATACAAAAACAAGGTTACAATAAGACATGGCCCACTGTCCCTGCTCCCATGCAGTTGACAGTCCACTAGGGGTGTGGGTGA